TACCGGGGAATGCGAGCCGAGATAGGGCAAAGAAGTTGTGAGGAGCCGTCGGGGCCGTAATTTTGTTGGACCTGTTGAATGTATTGCTCCTGATTAGTTCGATGGCCATTTGCGTTGTTCTGCTGCTGTCAAAAGTAGAAGAATTAGACAAGACTCCGGTCGAGGGAGACATCCGCAGCATTCTAGACAACTTACACCATTGGGGGGAGCAGGGTTTTTGCCATTCTGCTGAAGACTCATGCGGTCCATTGCGTTGGCAAGGCTCTGTGGTTGTTGAGAGCTGCTACTGGCTCCAGGCGACCCGGGCGATCCAGGGCCCTCGAACTTGCCCAGAGCAATACCACTGCTGTTGTATTCAGCGACCCTGCGTTTCCATTCCTCCACCTTGGGAACACCGGCCTTCCTTATCGCCTCCTCCGGGTTTTCGATGGGCTTATCAGTCGCCATATCTCGGATCTCGACAAACGATACAGGAATCAATCCAGGGTGACCCAGTCTGCCAATAGGCTTTGCGACGAGCCATTCGGGATTGCTCTGAGCAATGATGATGATGGCCTCGCCAGCCTGCGCATTAAACTCGTCGGCCCGCTCCGCCTTGAAGTCGTACATGACCCTTCCATAGACCACAGGGCCCGGAGGCCCTGCTGCCTTTCCTGGCTGCGATATCCGTTTCAAAGCCGGCGAGGAGATGGGCTGGGGGGCACCGATGTGAGACTCGCTAAACCCGGAATCATTATCAGGGAGCTTGATTGGCGATGTGATACCACGCACGCCATCCGAGTGTCCGCTGTCTCTCTCGGTTCTGCCCAGGGCCTGGAAGAAGGCAACGGGTACCAAGCCCCGCGCATCAGGAAGCGCGGGGTTGCATGCCTCGTACCATTCGCTGTCGTCTTCGTTGCTGATGACATGGAAGAAGTCTCCACGTGAGAAACTCAGCTCTTTATCTGATCGGGCCTCATAGTCGTAAAGTGCTCTGATGACCTACGAGAAGCGGTCAGCGCCCGGGTCGGGGAGACTACAGGTAAAAGAACTCCGAGACGTACCTTTTTGGGAGGAACAATAGCGATGGGGGACTTGTGCGCTATGTTTGGATTGTTGCCTTTGTCCTTATCGCCCTTAATGGAGCGCCGTAGAGCCTGGATAGCGCGCATTTCGGTTAGCAGCGGTCTTTGACCATGCGGGTACGGGCAGAAACAATGGAATAAAAATAGTAGGAAGAAAGAAAATGATGGGACGTGAAACTGGTGTCTGCAACCATGCGAAGTAGAGGGGCACGGCGAGACTGGCTCATGGACAAAATAGAGTCAGGATGTGCGGGGCGAGGGGACTGAGTCGCATCACGACGATAGGCGTCATCACCAGCTCCGCGTCGCAGAGGCAAGATCCGTGGATAATCACAAGACATGAGGATGGGGAGGCGAGCCAAAGGAGCGGGCAGGAGGAGGGGGGGCGCGGCGGAACAGTGTGGATGGGTGGTCGGGTGCGTGATGAGAATTGCTTGGTTGCAGTGACGAGCAGGCAGACAAACGAGCGAGCGAGCGAACGAATTTCGACGAACCTTCATTTTGGTGTAACGAGAGCGTCCAGCTGCGATGACTCGGTCGCAGGGCGTTCGGAATGAAGTCGAAGCCGGGAGAGTCGATCGAGAATGGAACACGAGTCGGTTGAGTCTGTAGTCTGGTGTAACGGGACGAATGCGAAGAGGCGGCAGGAAGATGGTGTTGTGGGCTGGAGCAAAAGTTGGAGGAGCGCTTGGGACTTGCTTGGGAACTGGGACGGGGGGGCGGGCTGCTGGTGGGAAAGGCAAGGTCCAGCGGTACTTTGGCTGGTCGGTCGGCGCCTACCTGCTAGAGAGTAGTAGTACTGCACCTCTGGCACCTCACGTTAAATAATTCCTACTGGAGGTCGGGCTGGCTGTCAGCTGTGCCTAGTCCCGAATAGCGGCTGGCTCAAGTCGGGTGGTGGCCTGTAGGCGGGCAGTGCCTAATAAATTACCACCTCCCTATGACAAAAGCTGTCCACTCACGCAGAAAGGAGGGGGCGGGGGTGTTTGTGGCCGCTGCAGGGGTCGTCGCCCTCCAGGAGTCGGAGTGGAGGGGGAAAGGAGTGCGGTAAGGTTGAGCAAATGGCGCCTAGCCCAAATACACAGGGTTTAGAGTTAGACAGATGACGGACGTTGGAGCCCGGATGGCACTTTTAAATGGCTGCGCTGTGAGGCGAGGCGAGGTCAGGTTGTCTGGCTCAGCGCCCAGCAGCATCGGCTCTGGCGTCAATGTCTCAAGACGACGACGGAACCCTCTCTTTTGGGAACGCAGGCGTATACTTGGGCTCAGCATCCTCCCCACCGCACGCCGCGCCAGAGTGCCATCAACAAAGCGATTGCTACACTGCTGCCTCTCAGTTGTCTCTTGCTCCGCTGTTCTCTCTCTTCTCCCGTCCCTGTTGTTGGCCGGCACGAGCTTTCCTCAATGCGACTAGCCGTCGAAGAACCAAAAAGTAAAAGACAGGGGCGGAGAAACGAGACAGAAGCAATTTCAGCCGTCTCAACAATGGATGCCCAACGGACCTGACCTCCGAATTGGCAAATTCTGAGGTCGTGACCGCACGGCTGAGTCCTGGCGCAATGATCAAACCACCAAACCCAGGCTGCACGCCTTGCGAGAATGATACCCAAGTACGCTGCAACCGTTGATGACGAGCGCACACCTACACAATGCCCACGCACAGCCTCTCATGGCGATCCCTATGTAGCGCTAGTACAAGTCAGGCACGCACAAGTTACCTAATGCTCCGTCGTCTACATCCGAATCAGATGGGAGCTGGACGAGCCTTGGATCAGGCTGTCTGACGAATCAGAATTAAGAAGCCGAGAAAAACGGGAACAGCGTAATGCAGAGTGCCGCAAGGCGAAGTCTTTGCCTCCGCCGCCAGCCAACCAACTCTCGCATTCAGCTTCTTAGGCTGAGTCTACCAACCGAAGGGCTCTAAATAAGGGTTCTCCCTCCCAATAAGCAGCCTAAGGATGGGGCCCGACTCTCCCGTAGGCTAACGGGGTCTTCCGACAAGCGCCAAGCAGACGGAAAGTTTATCGAAGCACAAGGAGTACTTGCTTACTTGCCTTTATCTGGCAATAATTATCGCATTTTTTCCCTCTCGCTTTCCGTCGGACTGGAACTGGAGAAGCCGCCTTTTCCAATTCGGGCCCTAAAAAAATACAGGGCCTGAGAAAACGGGGAGGGGCAGAACAGTGGGCGCGCAGTCTAGAATCAGGAGACTTGGGGAGGAGCAGGGCCATGATCACTCCCGACAATGAGAATCCAAGCCAGGGACCGATCTGCCCGGAAGCCGCATTCGTGACTCGTATTTCATGCTCAACTTACCTGCTTTTACAAGTACCACCCCGACCCGCAGGGGACTGGGGACATCATCCATCGATGAGGTATAAGGCAGGTAAGGAACAAGGGCTCCCTCCAGACCACATGGTGGCATACATACCCGCAGCCGGCTGCATCAATAGACCACCATCTCATAATATTACATGGACCGCCAGAGCTCAGGTACAGTCTCTCCATTGGTCCTCTTGAGGATGGCCATCCGCGCGTTGTCTCGGCAAATCTTACCCAATTAACCCTGATCCCAAACCCTGCTCCACTGCAAGAGGTATCACAGGTGCAAAGCGATATGCTGGTGCTTTACATGATCAATGCCGGGTCTTTGTCAATACCTGGCCTACATGATCCCGTGACTCGAGAGTTGCATGAGCATGAGGTTCCAGGCAGAAGAAGCTTCCGTTTCGTTTCCTGTCATCGTTGCGGTGGCTGCAGAAGCTGATCTGTGCGTACCTTAAATGATGCCGCTCAGACGAAATCATGGCATGCACGGGGACCGGTGTACGCCGAGAAAGGGCAAGTAAGCAGCCACGAGTCAATGCGGCCTCCGACAGCTCTGCACTAATTGGTGCTTTGATTGAGCGACCTTCTCGGCTGTTGCTTTGCCATGCTCCCCAGCGCAGGCCCTTGTTCCCATGTGCATGGATGAAACACTCGGTTCCGGGATCGTTACGCGGCCATTCCAGAAGCAAGTAATTAAAAAGAAAGAAGCAGCCCCTGACAATGATGAAATCCCCGGCAGCAAGAAAATGCTATGCAAAATTTCATCATTTCAAATTACATCTGCAGCCCCAGATGCAAATGCACATCATATCACACACTAAAGTCCTCTGACCTGTCACAAGCTGGTAGGATAGGAATGGTCGTACCCGTAGAGGATGCAACATTAGGTACTCTCCTCAACCATAGCCTTTTACTTTACTCGCCAAAATACCCATGCCCAGGTTTTATTATCTACGGGGTGTCCAATCTAAACAATTTAAAGGAGAATCTTTATATTTTTTTATATACCTATGTGCACTACGTATCCATCGTGAAAAGGCGAAGACTGCCTGTATGAGACTCCATGCCTCGGGACCAAATCGCCATGACTCCATAAACCTTTGCCAACGGTGAAAACAATTGCAAGGAAACGCTGTGTCTGACCACGTGAAATGAAACGCTGGTCGGCAAGGAGAAGAAGCCAGAGGACGAGGAGGAGCCGGGCCGCTGTTGCAACTTTTGTGCCGAATGTGAAAACTTTTGAAGAAACCGGATCCCTCGAGTCCATCTCTTGAGCCCATCTATCTCTTGGGCCGAACGTGAAAACTTGAAAAGCAGTAAGTATTTTGCGAAGCGACGATGATTATTCAAAAGTCCGCCGGGAGCAGTGATTGGTGGACATAAGGCAGTGTCGAATTTACACCATCCGAACAAGCGAGCTAGATTAAAATCTACCGCTGTTCAAAAGGGCTGACATCAAGGGTCGTGTTGTGGCAAAACATCAATGATCATGGCCGCATGCGCCGTTTCGGCTCATCGTGAAGGGGGTTCAAGGTCGGGTGTAGACAGAAAAGAAGGATGTGAAGCGTAAAGAAGAGGAAGCGACTCGGGGAAGGGGCGGTGGGAAGACTATATCTGTCCCTTGATATCGACCTTTCGGAAGGCCGCGGCTCGAGCACCCTCGAAAAGAGCGCCGGCCTTGCCTGTCAAAAACGCTATGTAATCGCTACGGTCTTCAAGAAGATGCTGACCGTTGTAGTCGATTATAAACTCCGCAGCACCAGAATCAGACTCGAAGCCGAGCTCCTCTGTGATGAAGCGCAAATTCAAGTCAGGTTTATAACTAAATGCTAGTTAGTGGAAGATCCAAAAAAACGTTGAGAGAGTGGAGTTTCTTACGCTTTGCAGATGTTGCAGAGGGCAGCTAGACGCTCCCGAACAATGAACATATCCATAAGATAAGCCCCCATATTGGGAGTGTCCATGTAAAGTCGGAAGAATCTATGGTAGTTGCCCAAGGCGAGGGCAGAGCGTACATCTAATGCATGCTTGATCGCATGCTCTTGTTTTTCTGCTGAGGTTAGGTCTGCTATAGCGTCGTTCAATCCGGTCCGGTTGGCAGTGTGAATGAAGTAAAGAATACGATATGCCTTGAATTCTATGGGGTTGCCCTTCAGGCCCAACGCGTAGAGTGAACGCAGTTGGGTCTGGCACTGATTATACTCACCAATATCCCCCTTCTCCAAGGCAATCCGGGCATGAATCTCATAAACTGAGACGGTGAATTCATTTTTAATGTGTTGCACAGTAAGGTCCTGGCGCATGGACTTGAGCTGGTCGCAAATGTACGAGTAGTTGCCTTCTTTTCTCCACTTCTTCTTGAGAAGATCGAGAGTCTGCTTGAGAATGGCCTCAGGCCGCACCTTTGATGGAATGGGAGCCGCTGTGAGACGCAAATACTTCTTCTCCAAAGTTTCGCAGGTACCCACAATCGGTCCAGACGAAGGCGGTGGCGGGCTGGGAGAAGATCCACGGTGTGCCTTGTATTCGTTCTCGAATCGTCGCCTACGCTTGTTTGCGTCCTTTTGGAACTTACTTGATTTAGTCCTGGACTCATCTGATGTTGAGCGCTTATCCGGCGAAGTGATACGATCCTCGAGAGACAGGCGGATGTTAGTATTGGCCCAAGGGGGCTGAGCGTGTCCGTCGGAACTCGAAAATTCAGAAGACTTTCGCTTCTTAGTATTAAATAGAGAGTTTGCTGGTGACCCTGTAGAGCTGCGGTCGGCTTTGACCAACACCTGAGGTGATGGCATAGACGCCCAGTCAAGGGTGTACAGAGTTCCATCCTCAGTAGCAGCACGAATGATGGATTTCAGTTTAGTTTCCACCTCGGATCGGCTTACGGAAGGGTCATCATTGTCAGGATGGAAGGCACGCTGGACATAATCGCGAACGGAATCGGGCCATTTTACTTTGGCTTGAGAGTGGTCGGGTGTTGATGCTTGGCTTTCATGTGTTGCCGGCTGGGCGTGCATGGCTGCGGGCTGCGGGTAGCCGGGATATGCTGGAGTTGAGGTGTATGAACCAAATCCTTGGCGAACGGAAACAGAAGTGTAAGCAGGGTCTAAAAAATGTTAGCTCGTGGTCAAATCGTCGTGTGTTTAGAGCAGGAAGACTTACTAGAAGGGTAGGAGTGAGGTACAGCTGAGGTATGTTGGGCGGCGACGCCCGGCGCTTGCTGAGTCGTCGTCCACCCTTGCATCCTGAAGCGAATATGGTTTGTGAAGAGGGTAATAATTCGAGGGGGTTGAAGGCAAGTTCACGGTCTGAGAGCAGCGAGGGAGGAGAAAACTGGTTGTGATGTGAGATGAATAAAGGCAAACGGGAACGGCGGTCGGTGCGTGAGAAACAAGCATTCCTAAGATCGAGGATTCGTGGCGGGCTTATCTCGTGACTTGGTGGGTAAATGTCGGCTAAAATCTGCTGTGCCCGATGTGTCATCCTCCGCCACTGAACTTTGGCAGCGACCACATTAACGGGGCCTCACTTGAGCAATAGGCGCGGGGCACTGGACAAGGTGAAGCATTGTTATACAGTTAGGAAATATCGCAACATTAAGCGCCACAGCTCGGATATCTATATCCTATCCACCTCTCATTATTGATTGCCCCATTGTTAACATATAGGAAATTTCTCCCACAAGCCTGAGGCACGGCAAACGCTTAGACTGGCCTCCCCTCTACGGCATGACGAATGTTTCTAAAACACATCGACCTCACCACTGCACTAAGGCCATTTTACTTACCAGATGAGGTGTTGCTCTTTGTACAGGACAATGTGGGCCTCTATGAAGGGTAAGTAGCGAGGACTCAAGTTGAAACGCCAAAGCTTGCGGGACATTCTAACACATGACAGAAAGTTCAAGTTACCCAATTACCAAAATGGACAGGTATACTTGACAACACACCGCATCTGCTACGTTGACAAGGAAGATCCGCGTTCCTACTCAGTAGCTCTCGAGTTGAAAGAAGTGGATCGATATGAGTTCTACGCTGGGTTTTTCAAGTCTTCAGCCAAGATCACGTTGATCCCAAAACCTCCTAAGCGCTCATCCGTTCTACCCTCTGCGGTCTCCGGGGCCAGCCACCAGCGGAATGGATCGTCTCTCGCACGCTCAGACAGCCCTAGGTCAAATCCTGAGCAGCCGTCAGCGACCTCTGCTACTTGGGTTTGCACGATCTGCAGCTTCTCCAACCCAGTGCCATCCAACTTTGACCCCGTCACTGCAAATGCCCATACCCCGCTACCGCCATGTCTGGCCTGCGGTATCAAGCCCACCCTAGCACATGTTCTAAAGGCTGCGATATCTGGAGCGAACAACCGTGCGATGAATGCGCCTTCGTTCGCCAGCTCCTACCCCTCCTTGGATCAATCCGTGGCGACACCGCGACCACTCTCGGAAAATCTGAGTCTCGATCTGGCGTCCGGTCCACAGACTCCTCAGAATGATGAGGATAGCACATTTCAATGCCCAAGATGCACATTTTCAAATCACCCCTCGCTCCTGTCCTGTGAGATCTGTGGCGCCCCCCTGATCTCACGCAAACAGTCCCCACCAGATGCCAAATCGAATCTGAATGACATCCGCAGCGAGTCCCCAGGCCCAGTCATTGAAAATCCAAAGAAAACCGAACAAGGAAATATAAACGTTTCGGAGAGTGTGAAGATATCGTTTCGGAAGGGGGGGGAGAAGATCTTCTATGAGCGCTTAAAGGGATCAATGACACAACGGAAATGGCTCCTGCAAGACGCACCCCCAGCACCCACAAGAAGCCGGCTAGCTGACGAGGATCCTTCCAATTCCAGTCCTGGAAGATCTGGAAAAAAGGCTGCTGGTATCGCTGGACTCGAGCAGCTGGGCCTGAATATGCGTAAAAACAACGAACTCATCATCGGCAGTGCTTTTGAGGATCTCGAGGCACTGATGGCTTCCGCTAAGGATGTTGTGGCGTTGGCGGAGAGGCTATCGCGGCAGAACAGCTCAGGGGCCGATGCGATGTCTGCCGAGGAGAACAAACTACTGGCCGAATCAGCCAGCCAGTTGGGCCTTATAACAACAAAAGATATTGTCGGGAGTGGCGGAAGTTCTCAGTCGCTGTATCTCTCGGAGTTATCCCGCAATGTAGCCGAATTCCTTACCGACGACTCCAGGGGGGTCTTGAAACAGGCGGGAGGCATCATAACTCTCGTTGACTTGTGGGCCAAGTTCAATCGAGCCAGAGGCGGAGTAGAGCTGGTCAGTCCTATGGATTTCGAGAAAGCCGCTCGGATGTGGGAGGAACTAAAGCTCCCAGTGCGTTTGAGGACCTTTCGAAGTGGGGTGATGGTCGTTCAAGGACTCGACCGCACTGACCAAGCAACTATCAAGGCTCTATTGGCCTGGCTCAAAGACCTACATGAGTTCCCACCCGAGAAAGAAGTACCCTGGGATTGGCAACAATTCGGCATGGGAGTTACCGCGCAAGAGACGGCGGATAGGTTTGGCTGGAGTTTGGGCGTGGCTGAAGAGGAGCTGCTCATGGCAGAGGAGCACGGAGCCGTATGCCGAGAAGAAGGCCTTGAGGGACTCAAGTTCTGGGTGAACTATATTGATATGGGCGACGTGAAACCTCCCAAATCGCAAGCTCAACGAGATCAAGATGCTATTGTCAAGGCTTTGAAGAAGTCTGGGATGATATGAACGTTGATACATGACATTTGTTGTCTTTCATTATAATATATAGGGGACTAGGTATAGATTAGAATAGCCGCCGCCTCACAACGCCATTGCATTTATTAAACAAGTAATCCGCCACCCCTATTTCTAGGTACCTACCTAGGTTATAGCCTGAAAAGGAACAAAATGAAATTCGTAACCTCATTAAAAGTGATCCTAGTCAAGAATGTCATCATAAGAACTCCCCTAAACCACAACATGGGTGGACATATGCTCAACCGCCTCCTTAATGGTTCGGAGCATACGGAGGTTTACACAGAATGGGCATCTGATTGGCTTATCGTTCGTAGAGATCGGCACATCTGAATGAATGGGGGTGAGAGTCAAATCCGTGCCCATATCCTGGGCTGGAGTCGCGTATCTGGGGTCAGACGATATCTGTCTGTTAGGCGTGGCCATGATTGCAGTGTGTGCCAGTCCAGCTCGTTCTTGTCGTTCACGTTCCTCGCGGACCGCTGCGGCCTGCTCCTCCGCGGCCTGTTCCTCTTGCTGAAGCTGCCGCAATGCATTTTGAAGGACAACCTCAGGATCGTCATCTGCATAGATTGACGCGTCTGGTGGGGGGGGAGGGGGGATAGTGGGTGATTCGCTGGGTGTGAGATGGGGAGGGGGTGCCTCAGAGGGCACAGGCATCCGTCTTAAGACTTCGTCACGGACTAATGCACAGGTGCTGAGACTTGCCTCAACACCTACGGCCCGAAGTATTTGGTCCTTCAGGGCTGGGAGACTGGTGTCCGGGACGACAGTCATGAAGCGTGGAACATAGTCGGCCAAATAACCAATGTCCTCGGCCGGGTTGATTCCCCCTTCTCCATGTCGCCGCTGGCGCCTTATCAATAGCCCATATCGCTTCTTGAAACGATGAATCCAACCAGGAGAAAACTCGGGCGATACCTCTTCCTTGTAGCGCGGAAGTTTGTTGAAAATGGACTTTGCCTTTTCACCCAGCTCTTCATTTGTGGGCTGGCGGCCTGAAGCCTGCACCTGCTGGTACCATCGCAACACCAGTTTTTCTACGTCGGGCCAATTGCCAAAGCGGAGACGCGAGCCCGAGAGCTGGGGGTTGTCACCATCAAGCCGCGAATACTTTGGAGAAAGAGAATGCGACACGGTAGATTGGCTAATCTGGTGGCCATACTGAGCAAAAAACCAGTCTATGCATGCCTTGTGCGACGGGCGCACAGGCTGCTCATTTGCCCATTTCCGCATAGAGCGGCGCTGGTCCAGCGTGAGGGAATGGCGTTCTCTGGGATGATGTGACGAGTCTGGGACGGGGGTGATGTCGGTGGTGTCTGGGCCTGCAGCGGCCGGGTCCGTTCCGGTCTCCGCCATATGCCTAGAAATGATCACAACCTTGCTGCCGGGATGGTAGTGCAACTTGATGCTTTGAATCGTTGTATCCGAAGTCGTGTGCAATCGCTTTCGATTAAAGGGAGAATAGAGAGGGGGTCTAGGGAAATGCGGGTGGCGGGGCACCGCTAACCTTACCCTCGCTTTTTGGCCTTGCAGACCACGTGATGCAAAGCAACCGTTAGTCCTCATTTTTATTCAAAAGCGAATGAATACACCAAGAACCGATGCCTTTCGCATGCGCGGGGGGTAAAAAAACATTTTGGGATTTGTTACGAAGACTTCGAGCTAAGTTCAATTAACCGGGTAAGGGATAATGGCATGTGGGCTAGATATTGTAATTCAGCACTAGCATTATGTTCTCATTAACTCATATGCTCATTTATGTTTCGCGTAAATGCATGAAATATGACCCGTCTCAAAACACGAGAGCTTAACTGTAAGCGCATGAGCAACTTCCCAAACCACAAGCCAACACCCTAGGAATGCAAACCAGCCCAATACCTCTAGGTATATTTTACATCAGATCTATCTTTTCTATGTCAGCAGCGAAAACAGCGAACACATGACCGTAGGCGCTCTTAATACACACTGTTCTCGGACACCCCTCCCAAGATATCCATGTAGATGCATATTACCATTACAGAGGTCTGTGAAACCACCCTTTAATCCATATTGCCTCTGGTTCCTAGCATCGGCATTGGTAACTACTCACCATACCTCAGGTAGGTGGTTTCGTGTAGCCAGAATTTAAGCAGAGCGCCTACACCAAGTTGCCTGCTAACGACAGCGAGAGATGCATTCCCCCAATTCAAACAGCACTTCCTATGGGCACATAAATTATCTAGATCGCTCGATGCGGGGTGCTCTAACACAATAGGTTGTCACAATAACAGAAATCCTGTACATCGTGCAACTAGCTTCAAGTTGTACTATCGTGATGCGATCATGGTGCAGGCTGCAAGAAGTTCACGAAGTTCTAACACCATTGAAATGGGCCGCCCAGGGGCAAGGAATTCCCCAGTCTTATGAGTTTGACAATGGATTCGATTTCATTTATATTTCAACACGGCCGAAGACGGATATGCGGTAGGAACAATGTGTTATTTGCGGTCAACCGTAGCTCAATGAAAGCT